AAAAAAAAAAATAAATATTTGTGTGTGTGTGTGTGTGTGTGTGTATAGAGGATGAGTTTTTGTTGCTGGGTTGCGACGGTGTGTTTGACGTTTTGCCTTCACAAGAATGTGTGTCTTTTGTGCGCTCGCGGCTGCGTGATGGTGCTGCTGCTGCTGCAGCAGCAGAGCAGCTAGCTGAGCTGGCGCTGCAGCGGTATTCTTTAGATAATATATCTGTTGTTGTTGTGGTTCTACAGTCTCCTCATGCTGCTACACCTGCTGCTGCTGCTGCTGCTGCTGCTGCTGCTGCAGCAGCAGCAGCAGCAGCAGATAAAGATATGTGGATACAGGATTATTCTTATGCTGATGAACCTTATTTGCTGCTCAGACAAAATAGCAATACCAGCAGCAGCAGCAGCAGCAGCAGCAACAGCAACCATCAGCAGCAGCAGCAACAGCAGCAGCAGCAACAGCAGCAGCAGCAAAAACCCACAAGACCCAAATTCGATTTCTCTATACTTAAAGCCATGCTGTAATCAACTGCAGCAGCAGCAGCAGCAGCAGCAACAGCAGCAACAGCAGCAGCAACAGCAGCAGCAGCAGCAACAGCAGCAGCAGCAGCAGCATGTACACCTTTTGATGCTGCTTTTTCTGCCTCCGCATCTACAGGAGGGCAGCAGCTGTTGCTGCTGCAGCAGCAGCAGCAACAGCAGAAGCAACAGCAGCAGCAACAGCAGCAGCATGAATAACGGCAAGAACAACAACAGCAGCAACAGCAGCAACAGCAGCAGCAACAACAGCGGCAACAGCAGCAACAGCAGCAGCAGCAGCCGCAGCAACAGCAGCAGCAGCAACAGCAGCGGCAGTACTATTGGTCGAGTCGCCCGCTTTTACTGGAGCAGCAGATGGATTGCTTTCTGCTGCTGCTGCAGCAGCAGCAGCAGCAACAGCAGCATCAGCAGCAGCAGCAGCAGCAACAGCAGCAGCCTTTATACGTGCGGATGCTGCTGCTGGATTAACATAGGCATTAAGGCCACAGTCGCTTCAGCAGCAGCAGCAGCAACAGCAGCAGCAGCTGCAGCAGCAGCAGCAGCAACAGCTGCAGCAGCAGCAGCAGTAGCAGCAATAGCCACAGCTGCGGCTGCGAGAGGAAACTGCAGTAGTTGCTGCTGCTGCTGCAGTGGCAGCACCGGCTGCTGCTGCTGCTGCAACAGCAGCAGCAGCAGCAGCTGCTGCAGCAGCAGCAGCAGCAGCAGCAGCAGCAGCAGCAGCAACTGCTGCACTTAGTTTGTCTTCCTCGTTTTAGGTGTATATAAAGAGTTGTTGTGTTACACACAAAGAAAAAGAAACAAAGAAAAAGAGAAAAAAAGAAAAATAAAGATAGAGAAATAAAAAAAGAGATAGAGAAAGAGATAGAGATAGAGAGAAAGAAAGAGACAGAGAGAAAGAGAAAGAGAGAGAAAGAAAGAGAGAGATAGAGAGAAAGATAGAGATAGAGATAGAGAGAAAGAGATATAAATAAAGAAAGAGATAGATAGATAGAAAGAGATAGAGAGAAAGAAAGAGAAAGATAGATAGAGAGAAAGAAAGAGATAGAGAGAAAGAAAGAGACAAAGAGATAGAGAGAAAGATAGAGAGAGACATAGAGAGAAAGAAAGAGACAAAGATAGATAAAGAGACAGAAAGAAAGAAATAGATAGAGATAGAGATAGATAGAGAGAAAAAAATAAAGAGAAAGAAAAAAACAAAAATAAAGAGACAGACAGAAAGAGATATAAAGAGATAGACAGAAAGATATAGAGATAGAGACAAAAAGATAGAGAGAAAGATAGAGAGAGAAAGAAAGAAAAATAAAGAAAAAGAAAAAGAAAAAAAGAAACAAACAAAAAAAGAAAAAAAGAAACAAAAAAGAAAAAAAAGAAAAAAAAAAAAAAAAAAAAAANAAAAAAAAAAAAAAAAAAAAAAAAAAAAAAAAAAAAAAAAAAAAAAAAAAAAAAAAAAAAAAAATATATAAAGACAGACAAAGGGAAGGAGCAGGGGCTGAGGAGAGCGATAGATAGACAGAAGCAGAGACAGAGAAAGAATAAAAAAATAAATAAAAAAACAAAAAAAAAGAAAAAAAAAAGAAAAAAACAAAACAAACAGCAGCTTCTGTATTACTAATATACAGCTAGCCAGGAGCTAGACACCTGCACAGTCCATCGACACCACATCGTTACAGCTAGCTAGCTGTTTCTAGCTAGCTAGCTAGCTAGCTAGCTAGCTAGCTAGCTAGCTAGCTGGCTGGCTGGCTAGCTAGCTAGCTAGATGGTTAGATATATAAAGGGGTGGCTAGCTAGCTATCTAGCTCGTTATGTATCTATATAGAGAGAGACAGATAAACAACTAGATAGAACGAATGTATAAGTACCTAGCTAGCTAGCTAGCTAGCTATGTAGTGGCTAGCTAGCTAGCTAGCTAGCTAGCCAGCTAGCTAGCTAGCTAGCTAGCTAAGCACTTAGATATACAGAGGTGTATAGACAGTGGTGTGTGTTTGTTTGTGTGTAACTATTACACATTGTACTAATATATATATATATATATATATATATATATATATATATATATATATATAT